TGGTGGTGGTGGTGGTAGTGGTTAATTGGAGATAAGAATCTCAGGGATTTCTCTGCCCAGGCTAACTTAGAACCTTTAAGATCTCAGCCTCCTGAGTAGCTAGGATTAAAAGCATGAGCCTCAGGTTCCTGGTCTTAAGCTGCTCCTTTTCTGTTTTTAACCCAACAGGTCAGTCAGAAACAATTGGAATCTTACCTAAATGTCCAGCCGTTCAACATATTCTTATATTCTATGCAATTGTGTAAGTAATCTCTTGACTAGTAAGTATAGAAGTGAATGATTCAGTTCTGTAAATAAATCTCCACTGGAATCTTTATAGCAGCAGGCTTCAGAAGGCATTTTCAATATCTCTTTAGCCAAGTTATTTTGGAAAATCCTCCCAGTGTAGGACCTTACTGTGTTTCTGTTATCAGGTGCTTGCCATTAACTTATTGGAAATTTCTTGTTGTTCCTTTCCAGTGTGTGTGCACTTATCATCTCCACTTTCTACATGAGATACAGAATTAACACTCTGGAGGAGCAGCTGGGGTCCCTGACAACGACTGTGGACACTCACAGTACTGAGTAAGACCCTCCCCTCCAGCCCACATCTGTTCCCTGCTCAGATTAGTCCAATTCACTGGAGCTTAGTTAGCATCCTGCTTAGCAAATATGAATCGAGAACACACTCTCTAGGAGACATTGGGTTAAGTGTATATGTGAACAGTAAAGAGGTAGGAGGGCCATAGAAATAAATGACCTACCCCTGCACTATTCCTGAATTACAGTGTCACCAAGGAAACAGACAGAAGCACACTTAACACTGAATTATCTGCCTCTGTTATCCTAAGACATGATGGTAGCTTCAGCCTATTAGACTGTACAAGTTTGTCTCTGTGAAATGACAGTGAAAGAAGCAATTCAAGTAACTCAGCATGTGTCAGCAAGCATGAGCATCATGCATATTAAATAACTTATTGACAAACTTCTTGACCACTATAAATGTTCATCTGTTTACTAGTCAGTTGAATACATCTATAAAGACTTTTGTCATGCATCACTTTTCAACATGCCTAACCTAATTAAATCTATTCAGACATATTATTTCCCAAACCATATTTACCTGAGGATTTTGTTGTATTGAATGAAAAATAAAATTAAATCATTACATTCCACCAGAAAGCATACTTTCAGCCTCAAGTTTTAAGTAGCAGGGTTTATATAGAACCTACCATCTGACAGAATCATTATCAAAATGGAAATATACATGTACAAGTCAAATGATTTTAACCTCATTATTTTTCATTGTAGCCTTGTAGGAAGCTGTTATTTGTGTCTCACAGATGAGGAAACAGAGACTGAGACAAATAATTAAATGACTTTGTTACAGAGTGGGATGCAATCATGGTATAAATGCAGGTCTCTATAGCTACCTGGGCTTCCCAGCCCGCCAGAGCCTCTCATCCGTTAGTGTGCACCAGAATTATCTGGAGGCCGTGGAGGAGATATTGAAGGATCCACTCCCGAATTTCTGATGCAGTAGGTAGAGGATTAGGACTTCTTTGAGAACTTTGAGAAGTTTTGTACTACACCATTCTAGGACCTACTTTCTTCTCGCCTGATTATCTAGGAGCTCTTTTCGGTGACTTACATGTATTCTGGTATTCAGGTCATTTTAAACCACACACACAATGAAATACAGAAGTCTAAACAATTGTGTGCACTAGATTCAGATCCTCCCCTTATTTTCCCATCTTGTCCAGAATGCCAGTACAATTGAAGTTAGTAAGTGTTTCTACAGGCTCTTCGTTCACTGTCACATAGGAGTTGTTATGGGGATAATACCTTATGTCCTGTTATCGGTTCATTAACTTGGGAGTGAGGGGAGGGGAAATTCCATAAGTAAGTGGAATATTCATTTTCCTCTTGAAAGAACCTACTCAGGAAGGAATCTGAAAATAGATCTTTAAAGGAACAGTCACAAGAAGCTCAAGAACATGGAGGGACACCCATGGAGGGAAGCCTGTTGCTTCTATGCTAGTCCGGGCTGAGCTTCCCCAGGTCCCCGGAGTGCCCCATCTACACTAATCCACACATGGACAACCTGATTCCTCATGTGCAGAAGCCCCTTCCCTCAGACTCCATACGTGTTACCAGCTGCAGCACACCAACAGCTGTCGATTATAGCTCCTCAGGGACTGCTCTTCCCCCGAATTCCCATCGCAGGAGTGAGAACACCACTGCCACTCAGAATGACAGTTCTCTGGGCCTCGGTTCCCTCATCTAGAAAATCAAAGATTTACATTCCGTTTCTATGTGTTGAAGATTAGGAGTGCGGTATTTGTCTCAGCACTAGAAAACAGATAATTGTTAAGATATGGATAATTTTGCCAAGTGAGCTGGTTGCCTGTGGCTCATGCCTGTAATCCTGGCTACTTGGGAAGCTGAACTAGATGTGAGGCCAGCCCTGGCAATGGAGTTCTGGAGACCTCTCCTCAACACTAGCTGGCTCTGGTGACATGCACCTGTCATTCCAAGTGGCTAAGACTGAGAGTCCAAATTCCAGGCCAGCCCAGGCAGAATAATTCACCAGACTCCAACTCGGTGAAGAGAAGCTGGACATGTGGCACATGCTTGTAATCTCAGCAACAATGGGAAGCCTAAAATAAGTGGATCCTAGCTCATGTACACACACAGGCAATGTCCAAAATTAGCCTGCAAAAAAACCAGGGCTGGAGGCATGGCTCAACAGTAGAGCACCAGCCTGTTAAGGGTGAGTTCAAACTCTAATACTGCCAAAAATAATCATCATCATAATGTACCAAATGCCTCTGTCTCAAAAGTAGACCCTAGGTGAAACCAATGAGACCAGTCACTGACATCCAACTAACATGAAATCAAAAGCAGGAAATATAGAAACAGTACAGACCAGGGTTCTTAACCTTGTTGTGGAATATCTCATAAATAGCTTCAGACCCTCTCTACAATTAAATGTATTTGCTGTGTTTTCCCATATACTGTTAGCTAATGCAAGACCCCGGAGTAAAAGCCCATGACAGAAATAGTTCAGTAGTGCACGTTGACTACACCTACTTTAGTGTAAGGCAAGGCCAACTATACTTGCATGACAGATCTCAAGGAATCAGCTCAAAAGTCTACTTCAGTGGCAACTTAATCTAGATAAGACATTCCCAAACTCTCTGAAAGTTCTACTAGAAATCACTCCTATTCAAGGAAAAAATAATAATGTCTGTGCCTGAAATGAGCAGTAATCCTCGTAAGTGTCTATCACGGTTTGAAACCACGTGCTCTACAATAATGGTCTGGTTTTTGTTTAGAAGCCAAGCCACAGCTTGCTCCAAAGTAGTGTAACAGATTTCTAGTTAAGCTTGAAGGGATTAGTCTCCTACATATCCGGTGTGGGCTTGGGCATTACTGCAAGGCCTAATACATACAGAAGTGCTCTCTCCCTCTGCCCTAGCCTAGTCTTCTCTTGCGCTAGATCTAAAATGCGTTCAGTCTCTTGTTCCCTTGCCCATAATGACTCTTCTCTTTGTTCTTACAGACAGACTGTCTCGTCGGGCCTGGGGTCTGAAGTACAGTTAAACGTGGAGGTCCTCTGCCAAGAGCTCACAGCCAACATAGTGAAACTAGAAAAGGTGACTTTCGTCTTTCCTGTGCATAATCACACTAGCTACTGTCATGTGAATCAGCCAAGGCTTACACACTCAGACACGTTCAGGTGGTCAACCTTGTTCAAGAGGTTGCAAAATCAATGTAAGAAAAAAACTCTATTTCAATGAAGAAACATTTGCCTTAAAATTGTGGCCTAGTTGTGCTTCCTACTTGGTTGGACATATTTCTTTGTACCAGCAGGCCAGCGGCATGTGACCACCGACCCCGGGTTCTGGAAGGCCCCAGTGGGAAGTGAGCAACTGCTATGGGGGCTGAACAAAGATGCAGCTACAACTGCACCAGGCTGATTCCTGCAAGACCCAAAATAATTGCACTCAGTCCATAGTAGGACCCTAGAAAGTAGATGTCATTGCTACTAGCTGATAAGGAAAGAACGGAGTTTCAAACTCCCTTGCTCAAGGTCATGTATGTAGAAAGTTAACTAGGGACTCGGAATTTGAACCAGGGATGTTCAGCGGCAAATTTGTGTTGAGAAGCCCTGCTTGGGCTCTCACATGCTTAGCCTGTGAGAGGCCCTGCATTCAATCTCAGCACTGAAGAAATAAACCAGCCCTCTGCTATCCTGCTGCTCAGAATCCAGCCTTAGGTATTATGGATAAAGGCAAGAGTGCAGCTCTGCCCCTAAAGGTGCTTATCCTCCCAGGACAGAGCGTCCCTAACTTGTGACATTCTTGGAAGATTACAGGAGGCTGAACTAAGACTAGAAGATAAGCATCTCAGAAATATGCCACAATCAAGTCTAGTTACTAGGTCTTACTTTCTTCCCCTTTCAGCATTTCTGTCCCTTTCCACCTGATAACTACTTTGTTTTTTACTCTGATCCTTAAGAAAAGGTATAAGGTAGGAAATCCTGTGTTCATTTGAACTAATTGTAAGTTTCCAGTATTTTAGTAGCTTTGTATAATAATGTTGTGTAGGAAGAAATACGAAATTCAAAGGTGCAAAATTAAACTGTTTGTTTTCCAAACCTAAATGTTATCAAGTATTTAACAACTAAGCTAGGAGTTTCCAAACTGCTGATCTAAACCAAGCCCAGACCAAAAAGAAGTCATTATATCTTTGGGCAAACATGGAAACAATGCTTTTGAATTTCATATCAGCCTAGAAAAGTTATAGATTCGCTACTAAAATTATTTTTCTTTTTAATACGTTGTGTTCTGAGAATTGAACATATATATTTTTTTTTAAGAAAGAACTTTGGCTTTCGTGCTGACTTACAGAATAGGATGTATTTGTTTTTTTTTGTTTTTTT